TTTTTTTTTTTGAAAATTTATAAAACAGTTTTTTTTTATTTTTAAACAAAATCGATGAGTAGGTATGTGATATCATAATCAAAAGTATTACATCAAACGAAGACTGCCAAGAAAACGAACAAAGAGTGTCATACTGATATATAGTGATTCGAGTTGGTTAAATTTAGCTAAAACTAGCGACTTACCCTCGCTTCTCTCGAGTTCGTCTCTAGGTACGTTTTTTTTTGAACGGGACCCTAATTCTTATTCTAAAATAAAAGTAGCCTAAGTTACTTCTTATAACATCAGCTATCTGCCAGTCAAAGTCCCGTCCAAATCAGTTTACCTGTTTCATAGATTAGCCAGAACAAACAGACAGACAGATAGACAGATAGATAGATAAAAAAAATTAAAAATTGTTTTTTTCATATAAGTACCGTATACACATGAACGAATTAAATTCGTTCATGCGTATACAATTTTATATGCATTTAGTAAAAAGCTGTTATTTTGTAATTACCTACAAACAGAGTTATTTTCCTTACAACACAAGATGCAGAACAATGATACGTTACTTATAATAGTACAAGTATGTAGAAAGAAATATAATTATATTTCTATATTTTACTATTTTGTGAATAACGTAACCTCGCACGCACGCGCGCGCTTCACGCTGTCTTGTTGTCGCAATAATTACTGGTATAAAAATGCAAATTATAATATTATATCGATGGCTACGAGGGAGTTGTGAATAGAGGTTTTGGATGGATATACTAGAGTAAAACTAAAGAACGCGCAAGCACTACGTTGTAGCGTTGAGAGCGACTTTACCTGCAGGGAGTAACTTCTTGCAACGCGTGGGCGTAAACGTCCGCCCTCGACCCGATTACCGCTAAGCTGCCAGCAACAGTGTAAAGCTCGCAAGTGGCTTCCGCGCCGCGGAGGCGATTAATTAGCGGTTCTGTTATGCTATGTTTCACAAAGCATTCGGTTTGCAGTATACATACTTTTGTGCTGACGTTACTTTGCAGCTGGAAAGATGTTTCCTTTTACAAGCAAAATGTCATGAGTGATGTAGCGACAATTAAGCACACGCTTTCTACACGTGCCTATAATGAAGGCAGTCGGAATAAAACGTTAATAGTGTTACAAGACGTATATACGTGCTGAGTGCAGTAGCTCAGATTACTTCTGTGCTTCGTTGCATATTTCATTACTTAAGACTTTCTTAGATTTACGCGAATGTTTGACATTATTAAATAAAACTATCTTTTCTTTATGGTTATAAATATAATAATGGCAACACTAAATATAGATTACTAATTAATATTTTAAAATTCTAATAATTATAAAAATAATAGCAAAAATTAAATAAATAATTTTCCATATTCAATTATAATTAAAATTATAAAAATGTTTTAAAGTTAAAAATATTGTAATGTAATTGGTGCATTTTTCATTTTGTTGATTGTGGGTAGGCTGTCTGTAACAACTATATCTTTAAGACATGTAACACCTCAGTCTCTCCCGTGACCATGGATGCTGTAAAGCATTCGAAACGTCGGGAACCAAAATTCAAAATAAATCCGCGAAATAATCCGAAAAGATAGTTTTATTTAATAATGTCATTACTTAAGGTTAAGGTGATACTGCACAAAGCTTGACTTTAATGTTAATTCTGACATATATTTGATGTTCGTGTGCAAAACTTATTTGAGATTGAATTTATACAGAGAAATATGGAGAGAGGGGAGGAGAGGGGTAGAGGGTTTGGGGGGAGGGCGGTAAGATTGATAGTTTTATCGTTGAATATATACGAGGTTAATCTTAAGAGCGGGCCGGCGCGGCACCTCGCGGGTCTGCGCTGGATTTACATTTATATGGCATTAAATGGCTACTTAAGGTTTATTTAAAGCTCATACTTAGAGAGCATTCAGCACTGAAAGTGCTTGTTGCGTGAAATTTTATAGGCTGTTTTTATGTTTCTCTTCGTTCTCATGTTTTTACATTTTCTCACAGAAAAGAGCTACTCATAATTTTTCTTTAGTCCTCAACGTTGCTAAAGACGGCAGACCAGCGTGCTTTATATCATATCATTTTTTTATATCTTTAATTATCATAAAACGTTTAGACTGTAAGATTTAAAATTCAAACATTCAAAGTACGTAAAATATGAAAAAAGTATAATATTATACAGTAGGTACTTATATGTTGTACAATGTACATAAGATATATTAAGATAGGTTTTTATTTGACCATGAAAATCTCTTCGTTTAATTTATTAATTACTTACTACATTAACTTTTCCGTTTGATGTTTTCCAGGAAATTTAGAATTAGATTTGAACATATTTTTGGTAAAAGTGAGTTTTTGTAAATTCGTCGTATGTATATTTATATATATTTATATAACTTTTATATTATTAAAAAAAATGGTGTATGTACTCATTTTAAAGAAAGTCTTGTCTTATTGTTTTGCTTTTTTTTTTGGTTTTGGTTATCATTGTATTAATTGAAGCTGCAGATTTTAAAAAGCTTTCGGTTGTTCTTTTTTTTTTTTTAATTCAAGTAACTCTTTTGGTTGTAGAACTCGTATCAAAATATCAGGAGTATTATTGTTATGAAACGTATAATCATATCCAGTAATAACTTTACTGAATTCCATTTCTATTAGGTACTATAACTTAAGAGAATTTCTGTTTTGTTCACAAGGACATAAATTTATAATATAATTTGTGGGCCAGTTTCTTATTAGAAATGTCATTCGTGTAAAAAATAATATTTCGAGAGCTGCCGACGAGTTTTGGGAAGATCGTTTTGGCGAATTGACCAATTGAAACCGCAAACGCTATACTAGACTCGCAGGAGACTCGCCAATAGACGAAATTATATTTTAAATTATATTTTCAGCTTGCCAAAAGGACTTTCCCAAAATTCGTCACCAGCTCTCAGGCTATAAGCGTAGTACCTGATATTATATTAAAATTCAAATTAAACCGACAAACAAACATTTTAGGCCGCGCTACTCTACATATAGGTATTAGGTATGCCCCCCCAACGTGCGTTCACCTTGTCGTGGTGGGGGGGCTCAGTAGTGCCCGGCAATCCAACCGGGCGCGAAGCTAAGAAACGCACAGGGAGGTTGCCCACTTCGGTGGGCGGTGGGAGGTGGCCCTCTTCGGGGGGCGGTGTACCATGCGGGTTGCTCCTGGTACTTCTCTGATAGCAGAGTGGACTGTGGAGCAACCCCATGGTTGTGGTGGTCTGCTTCGGCAGACCTGCCGTCGGGGCGTTGTAGTTGAATGCGTAAGCGATCCTGCGACGCCCCATTAAGACGGGGGAAGGTTTTATTGGGTTTTAGTGGGTAGTACTGGCTGTATTACGCTGGTGAGACCCACACGTCGTGCGTAAATGCATTTCCCAACGTTAAAAAAAATATATAAAAAAAAGGTATTAGGTATGCAGTATCTATAAGATATTCATTTATTATTTTATATATACTAATTTTATAAAGAGGTAAACTTTGTAAGTTAAGATGTAGGAAACAATCCCTGAAAATACTTATTCGATTCTGAAAATTCTCTCACTAATGGAAAGCTACATTACCGACGAGTGCTGTGATCTAGTTTTTAATCCGATAAAAATATTGTGTTTACTGTCAGAAATCATAATCGGCGCGCGACTAAAGCGGTTACAATAAAACAAACAGTTTCAGTAAACAAGAACCGATTGAGGTTAATTTGCTAGTTATATATTTTATTAGTCATCCATGATACATATATACACACATATATGTACCTATAGCTTCGAAAGAAATCGACTAAAATGGTTTTCGACCGTATGTAAATGACAGGTTTTTTACCAGTAAATACACTTAAACATATTTATTAACTGGATATTAATTTCAGTTCAAAAATTTGACTTAAAGAAGTATTTTTTATTTTTTAAATTAAACCATGTTAAACTTATTGACAAGTGCAACTTTGATTTCATTACGTTTGTCCAGCGTCTTACTTCCGTGTTGAAAATTTTCAATTTGCATAGTGTTTAAGCGAGATGTGCAGAGAGAGCAGGTCACTCTGTGATGCTTTTACTTTATGCACAAACCTTTAGAAAGCGACAATTCTGCAGCAGTTAGATCGTATACCTTGCTTGGCTTTAGCTACGCTATGGAAAGCTCTTGATTTAAAAATAAATAATTAAAATTAAAATAACATTCAGCTTGTCCTCGTGTCAAAGCTGGCGCTAACAAAAATATATTATTTAATCAGATACAATACGAATACGTTTGATATACTCGTAGTTAGCTGGAACAGTAGGAGAAATTATTATTTTTCGTGAAACTTGATAACGTTTTATACGTTTTCTGCGAATACTGTACAAATAGAATTTTAAATCTACGCGAAGTGTTTTTCTTCCTAAATGTGAAAGCGTCTAGGGTTGCCAAAAATGAAACTTTGTTCTAATAATTTAAAGCTTACCTAATTTTCATAAGATAATAGTTATATTTGTATGTACAAGAAAGCTATTTGTGTAATGAAATTGAACCACATGTATATTATGATCATCTAAAAACGTCTTTATCTGATTTTTTTCTTCCTTTAAATATTTTATTAGACAACATAGCTATTATATTTTATTTGATCATAAAAATATAAATAAATGTATTGTTACAAATGAACTATTGACTAAATTAACTAAACTGAGTAAGCAATCGTTCCGTCGATCGCCCTGAGACTCCGGAGATCGGACGTTATAACTCGGCCAGCGGGTGTTCGCGACGTGAACAAATTATATGGAACTCTTATTGAACATCCATATAAAATAGTCTTAAAAATAAAGTAATCCCCGTTCTCTCCTCTTATAACGATTCTGTGTGACGGAAATCTATGGTAGTTTTGCTAACCTGCAGCAGAAATAACAGTAGCTATAAGAAAATGGAAGAATAATAAGATGTATTAATATTCTTATTATTATATGTATTTTTAAGAGCAATGCTATAATAATTATATACAAAGGAAAATGTCGCGAATATCAGTGACGCAGTGCTGGTGGTATCACAGCAGCATCACAACAGCAAAAGTAAAATACCGACAAAGGGAAAGCAAATATAACGTAGGTATAGCAAAAAGGTCTGCGGGGCGAGAGCGAGTGCGCGTGCGCGGCCTCGGGCCACCCCTAGCTATCAGCGATGTCGAAAATTATGCTTTTTGTGAAAAAGAGAATAATCTAGTGTAAAACACGCGACAGAGACTTTTGTAAGCGCTTCTAGAACTTTAATTGCAGCTCTATCTTTGATGAAATTGTAATTCTTTTACGAAACCCACACGACGACTAAATGTTTTAATGTTTCTACTAAATATTATACAAATCTTTAGCCAAGAAGGATTCCTTTGAAATTGTTATTGAATTATTTTAGGTGTAGAATATTTTAATTCTTTTGTTTCTCAGCGCTTTTCATTACTACAATTTTTTTACTTATAAAATTGCGCTAAAGCAGTAAATGAACACTGGCCGCGGGCGTGTGTCGCGTGTCGGGCAGCCGGCAGCCGGCATCGCAGTGTCGGCGTGTAAATAATTGGCGGAGCCCGCTTCGCAGCCGAGCGTCGCGCAAATTGATTTATATTATCCATCAAAGACGAATTTTTGCGTGAAATGAACGATCGGTGTTCTTGCCGAGTCAAAGGAGTTTGATTGATGATTACGAACAAAAACTAATTACCACAAACTTTCGACGTCTTCTGTTTGGAATTTTTTATACCCCTTTTACTAATTAAATCAGCAGAGTAATTATTACGTCTCGATTGCCTTTATTGTATCATTTAAACGTAAGCATTGTATTCCTTTTACTGCGGGTTACGAAAATAATACGTTTAGGATTTCTTAGACTGATTATAATATATTAACATTCTTGCGTTGTTATTTTCAACAGATTTTTGCTCGACTTACCCTCATAGAAAGCTTTTTGTTTTAATCTCGCGTTTAGTTACTTTGGAAATATACGAGGTATTTTATAAAAAAAATTTGCTCCTTTTTGACGGTACTACTTTTTTCTACAGTGCCTATTGTTTTTACGTTTACATAAACCGTGTAGAAATATTTATAAGTTAGGTGCTGATGTATTGGGGAATGAAGGTAAGCAGAACCTTTAGATTTTCCGATCAATGTCGATTAACCGCACTAGTGACAGAGAAGGACGCCGGGTCGAGGCGCGGCAAGCGGCGGTCCGCACCCAGCGCCTGGTCGACACCGCAACCTCCTTAATGGAATTTTAATTTAACCAATCGTTATTTATTCGTCATTTAATAATATTACTATTCGCCTCTAAAATTCGTAGACGTAGAATTTCAAACTCCAAAGAATTAGTTTTGTATATAATAATATTTTAAATTTTTAATATAATAATTTTGTATATATATAGTTTTGAAATAATTTTATTATATAACTTTCAATTTAAGTCGCTTTATTAGTACACTTAATTTTTGAGCTATAGTATTTTCCTCTTTCTACCCTTCTCATTCAGCGTTAGAAAGTCACATATTTGAATACATTATAATATAAGTAAAGGTCAACGTAGCCGCGCGCTCAAGAGGCGCCGCGCCGTCAATAGAGTTACTGATTCACAAAGTTTGTTCGCAAATAGACCGTCCGCGCCGAATCTAACACTTGATATATTGTCGTTTAATCATTCGATAACAATTGTATATTATTTGTATTTGTGATTTATAATTTAATTGCCAAATAAGTACCGACCCATTGTCCACTCTCCGTTGATTTTCCTTCCCATATATTACTGTTACTGTTCGCATGTTGGGCTGTAGTGTGCAGCGCCGCGTTGTAGTTACGTGCTCTGTATCCTTCCGAAGCCCGCATGAAGTCACTTAGCCGGGGATCTAACCTGACACCTACTTTGTACAATACTTACTATAGCAAGAACGAAAGCTCGCTCTTTGCTTGATTAACAGAAATGTATGCACAGAGAAAATACATTTTCAATCTCAAATGTTTTAAAAGTTAAAAACTCTTTCATCGAATACTGCATTTTACTACATGAGGGATAGAGTAAAGAAAATACTCGACTCTATATTTTATTTCCGCGTAGGTTCTACTCTTGTTTTATTTGTATCGAGCACAGAGCCGTTGTCTCGCTTATAAATGTAATACAATGAAGACATTTCAAAAAGAAATCCCATATAATATTCGTAGAGATATAAACAGTAATGACGTATTAACATTTTGTAGCATTGAGATATATTTTATTTTGTACGCATTATATACCATACACGCCTTCTTTTCTCTCGGAACGTAAAAACACCTCACACCTCTTTAAGAAGTATCACTTTGCTACTTTCCTCTTTAAGTATCACTTGCTTACTTTTCACATCCCAAGATAAAAATCCGCATGATATAAATATATTTGGGTCTATATAATTCTTATATATATATATATATATATATATATATAGCGGCTCACCCTCGCTTCGCTCGGGTTCGTCGCTAGGTACGTTTTAAATAGATATAAACAGTTATTAGCCAGCGTTAGCCATATAAATTTTAATTTGTTGTTCCGTAATTTTTCTGATGTTTTAATACTTATTATTGTATTCTTCTTAAATTTTATAATTTTCCGCGCAATTTTTTAAATTTTTTCTTTCATAAGAACCTTCTCCTGACAATAACAAACACAACAAAAAAAGAAATAGTAAAATAGGTCCAGCCGTTCACGAGTGATGGCGTGACCAAGAGAAATAGGGATTCATTATATATATGTATATATATATTCTCAATCTCGGAAACGGCTCCAATGATTTTCATGAAATTTAGTACACAGGGTGTTTCGGGGGCGGTAAATCGATCTAGATTAGTCTTATGTCTGAGAAAACGCGTGTTTTCGAGTTTTCATGCATTATTCCACGCAAAATATTTGCACGCTCGGGTATAAGCATCGTATTCAAGCGGCCAAGGTGCAAGATCAACAATCACAGGTGTTCAGGTTCGAATCTCGGTCGCATATAAAGGTTTTACTTTATTTATTTTTTAATATTTGTTCAAGTTTTTAGTTTTTTTTTAAAGACGCAAGATTGACAATCATAGATGTCCGGATTCGAATCCCGGTCGGATACAAAGGAATAATTTATTTTTGTTTTTTCTATTTATTCAAGTTTTCAGTTTGTTTTTAAAAGAAAATTGTACTTTTCAACCAAAAACTCCGAGCGAAGCTCGGTGGCCCAGGTACAATTTTATTAATAAGAGAATTCACAGCACCCGTTTTTACAAACCAAGTGTTGGCAATATATCATACTGGTCTGTAGCACTGCTTGACAATCGAATGAATTGCCGCGTTGAAAATTGTACTTTTTATTTTAATTATAGCCCTTTCAGCGGCCGGCCTCAGTTTAGACAAAGGTTTTTATTAAATAAAAATAAAACTCATGAATAGCGCTCTAGTCCAACGTTCTGTTTTTGGACAGCAAGCAGCAGAATGTGATAGAGGGAGCTCCCTCGTGGCTAATATAACGCGGGAAAACAAATTAAAAAGGAACCCGCAGCAAGCAGCGGTACACTGCACACCGCGTCCTGTCGACGGTAATTTAATTTTTTTGTTATTTAGGTAGGTATTATTAACAAATATTAATATCTATGCTGACTTTTATGACAGTACTAATTAGGTATGTAAATCGTGAGATCACTTCGGGTCTTTATTATTGCCTCTTCTAGTTTTCTGTTTTTAGAATTTCAATTTAAATATATTTTAATCTCTCTAAAAACGCTTTTGCAATTCAAATATTAAGTATACTTTTATGTAATCTGTAACAGAATTCTATCAGAACGCTAAATTGCACCAAGTCTGGTCGACTGACTCTCCCTCTTACATTTATTATATCAGAACGGATAATAGACAAACATATTACAAATTATTTACATATTATAAATTATAATTCACAAACATATTACAAATATTATTGTTCAGTTATTTATTTTGAATGAAATCCTTTTTTCGTTGGAATCATTAGCGTCCCTTATCTGTAGCAGGGGTGGTGCGGGGGTGTGGGGATGTGGCGCGCGGGGCGGGAGGGTAGATGGGTGGTGCAGGGTTAGAGGGTGATTGATAAAATGTTATTATAGCACTCACGCTGCCCGCCATTTATCAGGGTTGTCTGCTCTCGCCTCACACCTATAGAAATTATACGATAAATCCTTTTATTTGGATATTCAACGCTTACATTATAGCATGACGTGGCTAATACATATGTAAATAAATATTCATATAAAGTGAATTGTATGTAAAACGAATACGTGAGAGTTGTAGAAATATTATTGGTATAAAGGAAAAACAGGTTTAAATAAATTTTACACACATTGATATTATAAATTCATCAGTCACAACTAGTTTTGATTGATTTGATTGATTGATACGTTTGTAGTGCAAAGTAGGTAACTAGGAATGATGAAGTAAACAACTCATCAGTGTCAGATTCCGGGCTCAGTAACTTAGGCTCTTTATGAGCCGTTGCAGATACGAGTACAAGACAATATAACCGTCCTAACGAGCAAGGACATCTCATTCTAATTTCAAGCTCATGTGATGCTACTTGCAAGACTTTAAAGTGAGAAGGTCACTTTAATCATTTACACACATAATATACGATTTCTAGGGAAATTAGAGACAGCTAAATGTTGTTTAATTTCTCTCAGCAGTTCAGAAAATAGGCTATAAACAAATTCTATCCTTAATTAAAATTTACTACTCGCGGTTCTACCTCGTTTTAGTAATACAGTACGTTGAGTCTTTAAATTTCTCTTCATCTATTTAATTTAAGTTTTAAAGTGCTTTACTCGACCACATACCTTACTTGGCCATAGCAGCAGTAAGGTGACTTATTGAAGGTGAAGGAACAAGTGCTGCGGTGCGCAAAGTCGAGCAAAAAGACAAGGTTAAAAAATGGCAGCCGATGAATGGTGTGACCGAAATAGGCAAGAATTTTTCAGTTTTCCTAAGTATATCACACAAACCCCATCCTCGTTGCCAATGTTATATTTCATTATTATGTTTGATTGGGTTAAATAAATGAACACATGCAAAATAATTAACTGCACTTTTTATTACACTTGGATAATAATAATAAATCAAGTATCTAATCAATTTAAAATAGATGAATGGTCTCGGAAATCTCTGCACGGAAGACATCGCCATGACTTGTGCCAATCTAATGTTGACAAGGTTGCATCAAACGCATGGTTGAGGCGTGGCGAGCTTTTCCCGGAAACCAAGGGATTTATGATATCCATACAAGATCAAACAATAGAGACTCGGAATTACCAAAAACATATAATGAAAACCCTAATGCAAAACACAGACTTATGTAGAAAATGTAACAGCTCTCCTGAAACAATACAACTTATTACTGGTGCATGCCGAACAATAGTACAGACTGATTATAACCACAGACATGACCAGGTTGCTAATATCATCCATCAGCAAATAGCCCAAATGCTTAAAATTACAACGAACAAACCTGTACCATATTACAAATATATACCAGAAACAGTTATAGAAAACTCAAATTATCGTTTCTATTTTGACCGTGCTATATTAACTGACAAGACAATCCACTATAATAGACCGGATATAACTCTTCATGATAAACGCAGTCAATCGGCTTTTATCATTGACATAGCTATACCAAATACCCACAATCTACAGAACGCGATAGCTGAAAAGTTAACCAAATAAAGTAAACCATTGAGTTAAAAGACGAAATAAGAAGAATGTGGCATCTTAAAACCGTTACCATAGTTCCAATCGTACTCTCAACTACTGGTGTAATTCCAAAACAATTATTTCAATCTCTTAAAATACTGAACCTTCCTTTATATACATATTTTAATCTACAAAAAGCCGTTATATTAAACACATGTAGTTCGTAAATTTATACAAACGGATAATGATATAGGGAGTAGTATGCCCCCATCGTTTGCCATTATACAAAGTCATGTCCAAGCGCTACGTCTGCCACAACACATACCTCAACGACACAGTATTACATTAGATACTTAATTACCATACAACAAAAACTATCCCACTAACACTTGGCTATGGCCCGTGTTAGCTGAGAATACCGGCAAAGCCGACATTTTCAAACGAAAATAAAAATAATAATAATAAAAGTTTATTAGCAAGCAAGTTTATTACACTTGGATGACCACAGATACTAATTACTCTCTAGCATACCAAAATATAGACAATAATTCCTTATGACTAACAAATTAGGATTACAACAAGCATAGCTTTCAGAGTTATTTTCAGATTTGATATATGTAGTTAATATATTAGTTTTCTTAGCGGTTCAGAGCATAGAAGTTGCGATCGTGCACGATAGTGGCGATTTGTATAACGCCGGTGATAGGATTGTGTCAAGCCTGATGAGTCGGACTAGATGGGTACCACCCCCTTATTTATTTCTCCCGCGAAGCAATAATGATTACATTGTTGTGTTCCGGTTTGAAGGATAAGGTAGTCAGCGCAATTACAGGCAAGAAAGAGGCATATCATCTTAGTCCTCACAGTGACAACGCACCTGCGGTTCTGCATTTTTGTTACATAGAACCTAAATGCATGAACCGTAGGTGCTATGGGCGACACGTGCTGCTTTCCATCAGGTGGTCTACCTGTTTGTTTGTCACTGAATACCATAAACATACATAGTTGTTTCCTCTTCTAAATATATGTAATCATTGAATTATTCATCTATTTTAGTACTTTTTTTAGGACAGAAATATCTAAAAGGGATAGTAAAATTAAATGTACGTTAATAAAAAGGAAATTTTATTTAATGCTGATGCTGGAAACTAAAGATTTGGACAATCATAAA